CAAACTAATTATAGGAGAAAATGTTTCTGCTTGTTGTTACTAAGGTATGGATGGAGAATGGTGATAGAATGTCAGCTTGGAAGCAAAGGAAGAATGTCAACCTGCAGGGTTAGGAAACAAAAACAATACAAAATGGTTTTGGTATGTTGTTGGCAGCACACAGCTGCCCACCGGGGAGGAGAGGCCTCGTGGGCAAGCCCGGCTGGACCCGGTGGCCAGGAGGTCAAGCGGACCAGCGTGTCCCCCGCGGCCTCGTGTGCTGGAAGCCTGGTCCTAGCGTTGCAGATTGGGGAGGTGAAGGCTAGCGGCAGTCTGCACTCAAGGAGGGTTGCTTTAAAACAGTAAGGGTGGCCTGGTCCGTCTCCCCGCCTCCTCCTCTTGCAAGCTTCTACCACGATGGCCGGGGCCGTGATGTCACAGGCCGGCACCAGAGACGCTGTGGTGGGCGCTGTCCACCATCCCGGAGGCCTGTCCTATGAGCCGGGGTCATGCCTTCCTTCTCTTTTTGCCTTTTGGTTGTTGTTGTTGTTGCTTGTTTTTAAATAGTCTGGTGTTTTTGCTCAGGCCTTGGATCTCAGTCTTCCCGAGTTGCTGGGATTACAGCATGTATTCCCACGCCCAGCTTGTCTGCAGATGGAGCTTCACTAACTTCCTTGGACTCATGCTGAACTTTGACCCTCCTATCCCCACCCTTAAGGAGTGGCATTGCAGATGGGATTATGCCACGCTTCACAGAAAATGGTTTTGTTGCTGTCGTCACAAAGTACCTAGTCTCAGGAATTCTGTTATCGCGATGTTAAGTAGACTGATACAGTGGCCAAGGGGCTAATACAATGCCAGTCTTGGTAGGTTTCCAAGGGAAGGGATCTGGACGGAGCCGACAGGCAAAGGTGCAGAGAACCACCTGAGACACAGACGGGTCACTTTGATTGAAGGTGCGGTAGTGAGAGCAAAGATGGGGCTGTGGAGGACCAGGTTATAAAAGATGGCAGGGTTAGGTGGGAAGGAGGGATCCTCTCGTGTGTGTGTGTGTGTGTGTGTGTGTGTGTGTGTGACAGAGGGAGAGAGGGAGAGAGGGAG